GGTAGGAGTCAGGTTTTAATTGATCTTTTCCAAGCTTCAATAATACTATAACAACAGCTTCATTCATGGAGGGGGGCAAACCATTTCCATCTATGGCGGCATTCAGGGCATCGAGTAATGCCGGGATGAGTTGCGCACCGTATCTATTATAGATTTTGAATGGCAATCTGTCTGAACCCGGAGATTTATTACTGGGGGTGCCTGCCAAAGCTTCAGATAACTCCTCAACAGTAATTGGTATCTCCAGTTCTCTGTGGTCAGTCTCCGATAAAACAGGAAAAGAGCAGGTGACTAGAAACTGCAAAAGCTCAGAATGGATAGTTATGGTTTTAGAAGCATACAGATCATCGTAAGTGATGAAAAACTCTCAGGATTTCGGCATGACTCAAGTAGATCACTCCATCAGCATCCTCAATCTTGTCTATAGTGGACACCTCTTGTTGTGACTTCACAAGAGCAAGAAGGTGCCCCATACTTTCCCCCTCTTCAAAATATTTTTGTTGCAAAAAATATCGCTTCTTATCTGCCACTTGAGTAAGCAATGATTCATAAAGGGCTTGGCCCTTTTTCCAGGAGGTGCAGTTACAGGGGCTTGGGTCTTGGATCATCTGAACCTCCAGCTGTTGAACATCTAACCGTACCTTTTCCTCCCACTCCCTGGATCTATGCTTAACTGCTGAAATCTCCCAGATAATCAAGCCCCGCAGGAAGGCCTTCATCGCATCCCAAATCATTCCTGGCTGGGACAAGCCCACATTCCGCTGCAGAAAGTCTGACAACTCCCCTGGAATCAACTCAGACTCTGGAAACAGTGTCAACCGAAATGGGTTCACATTCCACAGCGGATGAGAGCGGGTATAACACCTCTAGCTTGATCCAGACAGGGGCATGGTTAGATAAAGCCCTGGGTTCATACGCAGCATCAAACACATATAGCAGGATAGTCATGTTCCCAAGGCCCAAATCTATGTGTGAAAGCCCATCGTGAGTAGCAGAAAAACATGAACATTTTGCTGTTGGATACTTCATCAGCCGCACATCCCAGTGGCCCAATTCCACCAATAAATTAGCAAATGGGGTAGGCTGAGAGGATAATTGTCTGCCCCTACCACCCAAGGGCAATCTATCCAAGCTAGGGAGTAAGCAATTGTTATAATCACCCAATGCCAATAGGGGAACATCAGGATGATTGGCCATAAATTGAACTACGCGTTTAATGACCTCTGAACAGTAGAATGGAGGGATATATACCACAGCCACTATGCAGTGAAACCTATTTAAAGTACACAGCAGGAAAAATATACCTGCCCTCTGCATCAATCCACTCCTGCACATGAACAAATTGAATAGATTTAGAGATGAGGATACACACACCTCTAGAAAACGAGGAGTGGAAGGAATTATATTGTATGGGAAATAAACGAGAGCAGAGGGTACCGACAGTGTCAGAATTCAAATGGGTTTCCTGCAAACATACTACAGACGGTTTTAAATGTTTAAATACATGGAAGACAGCACCCCATTTGGTTTTATCACCCAAGCCCCTTACATTCCAGGATAAAAACATCAATTCTTTATGGGAGACAGACATAATACATATGTATAAAATGGGAAGTACCCGGAGGAAACCCACACAGGTACAGGGAGGACATGCAAACTTCAGGCAGGTGGTGCTGTGGTTGGGATTCAAACCAACAACCCTAGCACTGCCAGGCGGATGTACTAACCATTTAGCCACTGCTCCTCAATGGGGTCACAGTGACACAGACAGCATTAAAATCCTGACGGAGGCAGTTGCAAAAATACAGAGATATTCATTTCTGCCCCTGTCATTTTTCTCTCGGCATATTCAATAATCATATGCCCCAGTACCCTTTTGGAATGTTATTCTTTGAGGTTGGGCAATATAATAATAATAATGTGATTTAAGATTAAAAAAAAAGTGTGTTACTTATTAATCTGCACTGTACCTGACAGGAAAATGATGAATATGTGGGTGAAGGGTTATTAGTCTTCACCAGCCTGGCCTTTCACAGTTTTTTTTACAGCTATACATGTGAAGAGTATTATGGGATGATACTGTCATCTGATCAAGGCAAAGATCAGACAGTAAACTATGTGGACTATGCCCTTGTTACAGTTAAGCTGGCAATGCACCAAAAGAATTTTGTTCAACAATTCTAGTTTTCAGAACATTTGTTTGATTTTCTAATGGTTAGTGAGGTCAAATCAACTAACAAAATTCTAACTATGAATATGGTTGAATGCGAGGCAGTTGCATGCAGCCCCATTCACAATTTTTTCCATGCTGCTATGTAACCACAAGCAGGGGCGGACTGACAACTTATGGGGCCCCCGGGCAATAGGGGATCATGGGGCCCCTGTGCCCTTGCCCAAACTCAAAAAAGCCTATGAAAAAGGTACCAGGGGGCTCTCATGGGGCCCCATACTGACCCCGGGCCCTCGGGCAGTGCCTGAGTTTCCAAATGGTCAGTCAGCCCCTGACCACAAGTGTAAACTAAGGCATATACACAGGAGCATTGTTGGACCTTAGATTAAAGCACAGTTCTGTCAGAAACTCTAATACTGTTATTCAGGAAATAGTTTGTATGATGAAAACAGCATATCAAGCCTGTAATAAACAAGTGACCACTCACCCACCAACCAGCCAGGATTTTTTAAATTATAGGTAGACTCTAATGACCTGAATAACCCACAAGTTATATGTCTTCAAGGCCAAATGTATATTTTTCACCCCTAGGCCAGATACCTTGTAATGCCATTACCAAACATGCTAATAAACTGGCACAAACACACACAAGAAAAAACTGCATATGATTCAGGATGAGAAATAGATAACTTCCATCAATAATAACCAACTTCTGTACATAAGGATGGGTTTGATTCTTCAGCTATTGGCACATAATACAGGATAATTAGAACTGATACAGAATAAAAAAGGAAACAAGGGTTATCCCAGTTAAAAGTTTACATTTATTTATTACAATAAAAACAATAGCACACCTTATTCAGTACAAAAAAAAAGTATAGCACAACTAAAATGTGTATAATCCAATATAAATGTGCAATAAAAAACATTAGACAAAACGCATGTACATGCATCAAACACAATTAGTGATATAATGGATGATATAAATAGATAAAGTGCAATGAATCTCAATCTACCTTGTAAATACAGAGCTTAATAATTTATATTCCCCCTATAAACTTCATAAATACTATAGAAAACACATGTAAATATAACACGCATATACATTAAACTATATAAACAAATGCAGAGTTCATAAAAAGTCCCAAAACATCCAGTGAGAAATTTCTCTCTTCAAAATGTCATATTTTGTGACATGCACATGTCATGTGTGCTCAATATGAAGTTGCTGATGTACTCCACCACCTTCCATTGCTGCTGCTTACCTCAACGTTTGACCCACACAAAGGTAAGGTCAAAAAACACTTTCTGAACACTCTGGGTGTAATAACTGGCAATATGCCTCCAATACACTTGTAATAGGCAAGTATCATTTTAACCACTTGCCTACCAGGCACTTATACCCCCATCCTGCCCAGACCAATTTTCAGCTTTCAGCGCTGTCACACTTTGACTCACAATTACTCAGTCATGCAACATTGTACCCAGATAAAATTTTTGTCCTTTTTTCAGACAGATAGAGCTTTCTTTTGGTGGTATTTAATCACCTCTGTGTTTTTAATTTTTTGCTAAACCAACTTAAAAAGAATGAACATATTGAAAAACAATTTTTTTAGTTTCAGTTATAAAATGTTGTAAATAAGTAATTTCTCTCCTTCACTGATGTGCGCTAATGAGGCTGCACTGATGGGCACTGATAGGCAACACTGATGAGGAGGCACTGACAGGTGGCACTGATGAGCATTGACAGGCATCACTGTTCGGCATTGACAGGCATCACCGATGGGCACTGCAAGGCAGCACTGATATGTGGCATTGATGTGCACTGGTAGGCACTGATATGTGGCTTTGATGTGCACTGATGGGCATTTGATGGACACTGACAGGTGGCACTAATGGGGCCACCCATTACCGGCATGAGGAGAGGACTGCCGATAACTGGCATTTCCTTGTTCACATGAATCAGCTGTGATTGAACACAGCTGATCACATGACAGAGCCAACGTCATGGGCTTTTTAGTGTGAGCATTGATCCGCTGTGTCCCAGGGACACAGCGCTCCAATTGGCGCACATGCGCAGTTAGAGTGGGAGGAACAAGAGAGCCGAGGAGGTTAAGGATGCATATTTCTGTAGTAGTGTCTAAAATGGTCAAACTCACACTTCTGGGTGTAATCACATCTAGTGCTGGCACGTTCTGTCACGTGATCAGTGACTTAACCACTTCAAGTCTGGACACTTTTTCCCCCTTCCTGTCCAGGCCAACTTTCAGCTTTCAGTGCTATCACACTTTGAATGACAATTGCGCCATCATGCAACACTGTACCCATATGAATTTTTTATTATTTTTTTGAGACTGAAAAAAATGTTATTTTGGTTGTATTTATTCACCGCTGGGATTTTTTTTTTGCTATATAAATGAAAAAGTCCAAAAATTTTGAAAAAAGTGTTTTTCTCATTTTGCAAATAAATAATCGCTCTTCATAAATCTTGTAAATTGAAAAATTATAATTTTTCTAATTTTTTTATATTATTTATGTTTTTTTTTTTTTTTTTTTTTAACATACTCTCACCCTAGCAGTGCAATGTCACCATAGTGACACTGTACTACTTGTGGGGGTGATTTTTTTTTTTTTTTTACACTGATTGCTTTTACACCCGTAAAAGCAATCATTTCTCTTCCTCTCTGGCTGCATTCTTGCAGCCATTGACAAATACTGTAAGAGCTGTGATTGGTCACAGCTATTCACATGGTACAAGGCTGTTATGAATAGCCTTGTACCGTGTGACCTCTATGATCATTCACAGATTTCACTAGTAGTAAGCAATGATGTCAGAAGTGAAATCTTGCTTACTACTATTCATGTGATCACTGATTGGCCAATCAGTGATCACATGATCAGGACCTCACACAGAGGTCCTGTACAGCGATCGGCGTTCCGGAGGACACAGTGGGCACCGGATCGCGGTGCCGCGTAACCCCAGGGAGCGCACACAGCTTGAAAATGTGGGCACCGTTTATAAATGGCAACCCGCTCCTGCAGTGCTCCCGTCTGGCCGTTTATGTACGTGGGCCAGACGGGAAGTGGTTAATAATAGGATCCACTCAGTTGGCTGACTTAGAGCAGCGTCTACTGTTTTGTTGTACCCTTGTGGAATGACTGAACAATATTTCTTTTGGTGGTATTTAATCACATCTGGGTTTTTTATTTTTTGCTAAACCAACTAATAAAAGACTGAACATTTTGAAAAAAAAATGTTTTTTTAGTTTGTTATAAAATGTTGTAAATAAGTATTTTTTTCTCCTTCACTGATGTGCGCTAATGAGGCTGCAGTGATGGGCACTGACAGAAGTCATATGATGCCCTCCCAGAACTGGACAACCACGCTGTAGCCATCGTTCGGCTATAGCGCGTTGTCAAGTGGTTAATAGACACAAAAACCACTGGAACTCTGCTTTCATTTTACTTCTATTGTCAAAGAAACCCTTCTGTGTTGGACAAATTGACACATCAGGCACTTTCTTTTAGTATTGATACAGGCATGCAAGACTGCAAAAAGAATTCAAAACTTCCCAAACAAGCACACACAGGATACATGCATTGTTCTACATAAAACCGAGAAATAACCACAGGCACAGTTGGGATGATTAAACATTAGTTAATCATACTGAAAAATAGCATGGATGAGAATGGGACAAAATAATTTACGAGAAGACATTTCTTAACTGTTTAAGTATGTTTCCAAAGACTAACAAAAAGAAAGTCACACCCCCTGCACCATACCCCAGCATGCAGTGGGGTGGGAACAGGAGTGTTTGGAGATTGGTTGTAGTTTTTTTTTTTTTTTTTTTTTTTTTAAATAGGCCAGTGGCAGGTATCAGAGCTGAATATGTACATGAACGTTTGTAGGCAGTAGGGGGAAGATTGGTGGTTTTCCAGACATTAGGCTGTGTGAGCCTTGAACAAGGCTTGTGCCCTATTTGTTAATTAGAAGCAGCATCTGCTCCATTTTTCAAGTTTAGAAGAGTAGATCATGCATTGTGTTTGCACCACTCTTTGTTAGTTCCCCTCTAATGTCTAAACAGACACGTCAGATGTATTCCTATTGAATCTTGGTGTGCTTCTTCTGGATTTGTGCAATTTAACGCAAAATTTGTCTCTGTGCAGGAACTTTCTGTAATACAGACCGATCTTTGCTGCTCTCTCTCCCCTTGTGCAGGGCGACTAGCTCTCTCCTTGTTCAGAGTGACAACATAGCCTGTGCTACGTGCAGCACAGAGATGTTGTCACAGCTGCATTTATAAAAGGTAGTGACTGGGTTTGTAATGTCATTTGGTTCACACAAAGTGGGTTTATATCCTTTTTGACTATTAACCTCCCTAGCGGTCTGATTATGTCCATATTTCTGTGCTCAAAGCGGTACATTTTTTTGCATGGAAATTTGTATTTTTTTTTCATTGTAGGCCTGTAATTTTTAGGAATAACTCACTGAAAACTGTCTGAACAAGAGTCTAGTAAACATCCCGGGTAGGATAAAACTTGAAACACTAAATCATAAATTAATAAATAATTATAAAAAATAATAATATAAAAATAATAAATTTAATTCAATAATATAATCAAACCAAAAACACTGAAATTTGAAATATAGCGCCAAGTTCGCACATCACTGAGTAAAGTCGCAAAATCGTTTTCAGTGTCTGATGACGAATTTTCCCACGAATCATTATCACTCAATCCTGCAAGTGGTTTAATTTACTATCGCTGTTCTCTAGCTGGTCTAAAACCGATTTTGTCCTAAAGGGATGCTTTTTGGACGCCATGGATGTTTCTCAGTTTCCAGGCAGAAAGAACAGTAAAAATGCAGGCAAGGCACAGGACAAAGCACTAGGGACAAAATGTATGTGAAATGCCTTGATACAATAATGTTTTACTATGTGATTTTAGTGAATGTCACTTTTTGTCATTTTCAAATTTCCCGCCGTTCCGTCCCCCATACTTCCCGACACTTGCAGGGGATGGAACCCAGATGACAGATGCCGGCAGCGCTGCATGGTAAGCCCGAGTGTAGCTCGGGGTTACCGCTTGTGGTACTGAAACTTTACCCCAAGCTACACTCGGGAATACCGCCAGGGAGGTTAAAGTGTTACTAAACCCATGACAGTAAAATCAGTCTGTATATGCAGTAATGCATGCTTGTTATACTCACTGTGGAACCTAAGAGCTTAATCCTCTGCATTGTGTAAAAAGGCAGTTTGATCCTTTCTTCTCTGTTTCTCCCCTTTTTCAAGCAACCACTTCTTATCTCCTGATAAGAGACTGAGCCGTAGGCATTTTGCACATGCTCAGTTTGGTGTGTATTGCCAGAGAGGTTTTTTTTTTTTCTTGGGAGAGTACAAGTGATCAGCACAGGACCAATCAGCAGTGGTCAGACATAGGTCAGGGGTGTTGCATCCTCCTAGAGCAGAAAGAAAACTCCTCCTACAAACTTTAGCTAGTGCTTGACTGAACACTGCTAGAAGCCACAAGACTGCTGTAACGTCTGATGAGATAAAGGTCTTTAGCAGTTTATATTTACATTTCCATGTTCTGTGTATTGTGGGAGACCAGATAGTGTTACTAAACCCAGGACCCTGCATTCACTCTAAGGAAAATATTTAAAGGACTGTTTTGTGCCCAGAGTTCGGCTTCATCCAGCCAAATTGATATTCACAGTGGCCGTCCTGGATGTCTTCTGCAAAACACAAGACATTTTATACTCTACGGAGATTCATACTGGCAAAAAAAGGCTGCACTTTGAAGGCAACGTAAAAGTTCAATGATGAGAGGCACAAATGCAGGGATTCTTGAGGTATGGTCATAAGCAAACACATATCCTTTTCAAAGATCAGATAAACCCTGTTTCAACTATAGACATAGACTAGAACTCCATAAACCTGTTTTCCCTATATTCTGAACGCTCCTGAATCTTGGTTGGAGAGAGAGGACTCATGCAACATTTGGCAGGGAAAGGGCCTGTTAGCAAGTTTGTAGTTCAGATATAAAGACCCCGTGGCAGAAAGGTTTCTGCTTAAATCTTGCTGAACAAACCCATAGGTTCTCAGTAGGATTCAGGAAGCCTCAGTAATGGTGTCATAGCCATACAAGGCATGGTGGCAAAAAAACGTTTAGAAGATATTGCAACTGGCCTCCCAAACCAGAAAGTAACCATATAGCCTGTTGGCCATTGTGGTGTGTAATAAACATCACAACGCAATAGTGCAGCGCTAAGATAAATGAAAAATGTGCAATACAATAGTGCAATGCAAATATATCAAACTCTGTGTCACCACAAATTGAAAAAAAAGGAATCCAAATGTAAAGCTAAAATCTGTAAATTCAGTGATCCTTTGACCATGAGGTAAATAACAGACGTGGACACCAAAACACCACAAAAACCTCTCAATGATGAACCACACAGCACGTTAGTGTACAGCAAAGGGAGGCCCACCAGAATCACATGACCCCCAATTAAGTGTCGTCAACCAGCATTCATGTATCAATCGAAGATATCCAGCCATCCTCAAAACCACAAATGATGGCACTGCAACATCAGATCTTTTTTCAGATAGCTTCACTTGATCCACGTGCGTATTGTTAGATATGGAGGAGACCAGTTGATTTTGTAAACTGAAGTATAGGCAACTTGAGGCATACACATGATCTCTTAATATTGGTGTCATCTCTAATAAATAAGTACACCAGAACAACAAGGAAGAAAAAAATCTCCCATCCAGATAGTTCATCGTCACTCTATTCTGACAGATCAGATTAGAAGACAGCCATAAATGCTTCATTATTCCAATAGTTTCAAAGCTAATTCATGGAAAAACTACAAAACTGTCATGGAACATTGGCATGGTTGCAGACTATGGGAAGAAGCAAAGGAGTGAACGGGTTTGTCTTTGTGGCCTCAGTTTGAACCACAATCAGGACACCCTCAGCATGGAAATTGCATGTTCTCTGTGCTTTTTCTGATTTCCTCCCACACTCCAAAGACATGCTGGCAGGTAAAATTTGCTCAGCTGAGCGTGCCCAAGGTGTGCCTCATCTCCCAAGAGCTTTAAATCCCCATGGAGAAAAATGCTATAGAAACAAATAAAAAATGAGAGCAAAGTGAATTGGTCAGTGAAAGGCATTTCCTTTCCAAAAGAGGCCCAGGGATATGTCTCTCCAGTGAGAAAGAATATAATATAGGAACCCACCACATACATTGGTATTTCCAATGAAATCAGGAGGCAGGGGAATATAGTGTTGAGTGGGCCATAGCAGTCCATGCTGGAATAGACGACAATTGAGCGGTAACCCCCATAATTGTCTCTAGATGATCCAGAGATAAAAACTGTGGAATCTGTTTGGCCTCTTGCATGCCTACCAGTTGGGTCAAGCTTTGCAGGGAAACAGGTAGCAGGACATTGGCCACATCCATGGCCTAATCTGTCAAAAAGTACATTACAACAACAGCCGCCAGCACTATATCAGGCAGAAAATGAAAATGTGGTTGAAAGGTTATTAGTCTTTGCCATAGAGAATGACACAAGGTAACCCGGCCTTTCACATTCTTCATACAGCCAAACAGAGGATTATACAGTCACCAGATTAGAGCACAGTTACAGCAGTGAACTATGTCCTCTGCCCTTTCAAATGCTGTTTGATGTGGCCTGTTATCATTTTCTTCTGTTACTGGGAAATGGTCTGCTGCTCAGTGACATGAAATATTATGACTGTAATAAACAATTAAACATATTTTTGAACAGTGATGAGGTTTAACACAGTAAATGTCTCAGTCTCCATTGCTTTGCATAAAAGTTGCTGCTTCATTCACATGGACATTGTGGCTCATACAGCATGAATGAGCACTTTGTTTTTGTGGCTGGAGCCACCTGGAGCTGTAGGGGAAGAGTGTGCATCCCCAAACCTGTACAGACCTGTGGCTGTGTCCCTACAGCTGCTGCATCTTGTGTACTTTGGGGATGTGATAG